ACTTATTACGGTATGGAAGAAAAATACATAAAAATTCGTAAAAGTGTAAAAATGTAACATTATAGTTTTATCGAGCAAGTTGGGCCCTTCATACTGTAAAAAAATGTACCAACATGGACCTGGCAACTATATTCAAAAGTTGGCGCAATTCATGTTGATTTCAAAATGGTATAATACTTTCTATTTTTATTTCAACTTTTTGTGGTATAAAATTTTTTCTGGCAGAGGGAAGATTTTGTGCAAATTACTCAATTAGACATTTTTTAAAATGATTCGTCCGTTCGATTAATGTTTAAAAAAAAATAATTCGTTTTCACGCTAGTTTGGCCAATTTCAGACCTCTGGGATTCTTCTGGGACAGCCTGTAGATATACATTAAATACGAAATTTTGGAATATTTGCCATAAATCATAATTTTCCCGAGAACTAGAAATTCTAAGACATTATAGGTTAGGGTAAATCAAAAATTTGCTCCACGTGGTGACCTGTCCCCCGCCCCCCTCAATGCTTTGCATCGATCTTCCGAACTGTATTATGAAGGAATATTTTTGCTACTCTCTTTGAGCCTTAATTAACTCCCAAATCCATTACAGCCTATTAAGTCCACCGCTGAAAATAGGCCTCCCCATGCCTCAGGATCAGAGTTTTGTTACAGCAAGCGTCTTGGTAATCATGGGTTATATTATTTTGGATTGTTATCAGAAAATTGCTGCTGTCCATGTTCTGTTTCAGTCTCTATTCTCGCCTCTTACGAAACATCCGGGTGGATATGGGGTAGTTATTTTTTTTATAGAATAAGGGTGACAAACGAGCACACAGTCCACCTGATGTTAAGTGCATGCTGTGGCCCATACACCTCTACATTTATCCTCGTTTAACAATCAAAACGCAGATGCGTTGTCACCCCTGAGGACTAAGATGGAATGCCTCGTTCCCAGTAAAAAACGGTCTCCGGATCTCTACACTCACAATACGAAACACAGCAGTATTAAGCTGCTATTTTATGGTGGTATTCTGTGAGAGCGTGGGCCTCCCCAGTCGAGCCGACCCATTCGTGCTACTCGTGTAACAAAAATATACTCGTAGTTGCAACGTGGCTCCACCACGTATAAAAGTTAATATTCTAACACTACCTCTACACGGTAAATTCTCTTAAACCATTTTAAATTATAGTAGTTTCGTGTACCATATATTTTTTCTAGAAATAAAGTTCTTTTTCTTCTTTTTTTTTCTAAATTTGTTTATATATTCGTACGGCTATTTATTTATAAAGGTTTTATGCATGTATACATATTACACACACACACGCACACACGCACACACGCACGCACGCACGCACGCACGCACGTACGCACGCACGCCCGCCCGCACGCACGCACGCACTCTCGCACGCACGCACGCACGCACGCACGCACGCACGCACGCATGCACGCACGCACGCACGCTCACACACACACACATATATACATATATATATATATATATATACATATATATACGTATTATTGTATACATATACATATATATGTATGTGTGTGTATATATATTTTAATATATGTGTACACTATATTTATGTATTATGTTTGGCACCTGCCAATAATTGTCTTTGGCACCCGGTTGACTGGTAGAGAATGGCACATGGTATTAAATCCGACTTTTACATTTAAGTTTTTAAATAAATATTTGGACCTCTAAAGTAGGTAGTATATTATATAATAGGGTTGGCAACTCCAGTTACAATGCGTTTCAGTGGACACATTACGTGACCTGGAAATATTTTATTTCTCAGACATGCAGGTTTCCTCGCGATGCTTCCTTCACTGCAATGCACTTGCTAAGTTAGTTTCTAAAACTACAATTTACAATTTTATTGGTACCAATTAAAATAATTTTGTTGAAAATACGAATCTCTGAGAGATAACTATATATTTGTGCCCTTTATGGTAGAGAATATTGGTCAGTGCGGTGAAGTTCCTTAAGGAACTGTATTTGGAAGTTGTCGTCACCGCTGCTGAAAAGAGGGCTGGTTCTTTTCTCGCTTAGACATTCAGCGAGGAAACGCAGCCAGCGTTCTTGGCACAATACCGCGGGAAGTAGGGCTGTATGATAATTAAAGTTTTTAATTATTTTTTTATTAAAGTAATAAATATCATATATATTTTAATGTTATGTAAATAACTTTACTAGAGTTTCGTCATTGAAATACATAGAAAATAAATAGGGCTTTTCCTTGGCGTCATAAAAAAAATCCCTTTCAGGAAAAAGTTTTCTTTTGTTATAGTCCTATTTTTAGTTTTAGTTTTTTTTTAATAATATATATTATTTCAATTTCATGTGAATAAATATTTTAAATATAATAATAAATTATATTTGGCGCGGATTGGATTTAGAACTCGGTTTGTTCGTTGTACTATGTATGAAATCATGTGGGCGCTCCTTCCAACATCGTTGGTCAGGGGGTCGTAAGCTCGTAATCGCATATGCTGATCATGTGGTTCTCAGGTTCGAATCCCGCATCGGACTAAAATCTGTTTTTTATATAAAAAATTGAAACGAAACTGACTTAATAGTCCACTTGGTGGTACTTATGCTGGATTCAATGAACACATGCAACCACAAAAGGCCACAAATGCGTTATCACCACTTACCTTACTACACAGGTGGAATGCCCCGTGCCTCGGAAAACTCCTAAAGCCCTTCAGCTTGCTCCTGGTATCTCTCCCGTAATGTCGGATTGCCGTACTATAGGACTATGAGTGTGAGGGAATAGAGAGTGGACCTGTGCTTAACACACTCGTCCTGTGTACTAAGCAGATGGCTCGTCTCTGTTGACTGGCCACTACCGGCATTGGATCTTCGAGGACATTATTTTAAAATAAAATCTTGGGACATTATAAACATACTTATTCTAATGAATATGACGGGAATTTAATTTGAAATATTTATGAAAGGAATTAAATTATATGTACTCGTCCATTGTCACTAAAGTATTTCAATAACCAATCGCAATAGAAACAATATAAACATTCATTACATTAGATAAGGCCAAACTGCCGCCATTTTACATTTGTGTATCACTGTACATGAACTTCTAATCAATTTTGAAAAAACATTATCTCTCAATTTGATATAAAAAACCGATAATAAAAATACAGACAAGTTTTAATTTTTTTTACATTTCAGTTACATCTAGGTAAGTAGGTAATTACTATGCAGCATGTTTCGGAAATGTCATACGATGTAAACCAAAAGTATTTTAAACAAACACTGAAGTTTTGCTAAAGCCTCCATTCCTAATGACGCTTGATAAAAGTGCTATGTATTTAGATATTATGTGAGTAAAGTCGCTGTGAATTTATACATAACAAGTAACAACGAATCTTAGACGGCCCCTTGCGTAGATTGAGTCACGAACGCCGCACTGTTTTACCACCATATTCTTCTACGATAATTTATTTTGCAGCATATTAACTGAGTAATGTACATTGCTCGGTTATTACAAAGCTTGAAGCGACTTCTGAATATGTGTATTAGTAAAGAAGTAATGTAGTTGTGTATTATGCGCAAGTTCTTTTACGTTTCGAGTTTATCAAGAAATATATGATAGCAGTGTACGGAGTTGACACGTCGTCGTACGCTCCGCGGGAGTTTTTTTTTGTGTAAAGGTGGACGCTTGTTTGATATTATGAAAATAATACGATGATGAAATAATTTCCCACAAACCGAATATATTTATTTTTAACGTTTTATTTCCATTTCATGTATGCTTAGTCTTTAATACCAAATTAACAACGACGAAGCGTTATCAGTTACCTACGCTGTATTTTTTTCAATGCGTGTAAGCTATGAGTTATAGTCGATTGACTTATAAAATTTACTCTTTTATATTATTACTATTTATAAAAAGTACCTACTTATCATTAAGATAAACTTCAATATTTAACAATGATGATTAAATTTAAAAAATATATATTAATTCAACGATACGATTTATGCTAGGTGTATGTGTTATGTAACGATGACGCATAAATTTTATAACCAAATGTTTTATGTTTTTGAGAAAGTCATTATCAAAAACACAAAATATTTTGAAGGTATTATTTTATTTAAATAGGCACTTAGCAAATCCTTCAATTCTAAATTTAAAATAAAACGTGATATTTTATCCTTGAGATAAAAGATCTACGAGTAGGTACATTCAAATTTAATGTTCCGCTAATTCGCCTGATTCTGACTTATTTTTTTTTAGTTCATTAAAATTATTTCTGATAATCTGTACGATCGCTTTAAGGTAAGTTTTTAATTTGAATGTTGATGTTGAGCAATTAAATCCACCTTAAATCGTGTAGACCTAGTAGTACCTAGGCTTTAAAATTTTTGTGCGATGCGGACGTGACTAGCGAGTAGCGAGGCGAACGTTAGGAAAAATATTTTATGAGAAAATTAATGTCCATAATAGGAAGTAACACATTGTTGTCAAATTAGAATTATTTCAGTTTTTAAGCCTTTGGATATTATTATAAATAACGTAACTAAAAATAATTTTGATAAGGTATAATAACATGAATGACGTAATAGCCAATTGCAAAAAAATAGAATGATAATATTTACTCAATGATACTCTTGAATAAAAAATGTTAGAATAAACGAAAAAAATAATTGATTCAAATCGTTTAGCATGCAACTCGACGCCCAGCAATAACGCGAAGATAAATAAGTGCAGTACCTACATCGGGAACCATATTGTTATAATATTACGTAGGTACTATATTAGTTGTTATCGGTTGATTAATGGCGTCGAACCACCTCGGTACACATAATAATCAGCATATTGAAAGCCCGTCTAATAAATAAACGAAAAAACGCGACGTTTTAAATTGAATAAATTCCGCAGTGTTTTGCGGTTGACGGTTTGTTAATTTAAAATATTAAATAGCTATTAAATAAAATTTATTTTAGCAATAATTAGTAGTTATACCATGTGGGTTACTTTTAAACTATTAGTCATATTTCGAAAGCATCAGAATATAAATGTCCGAACAAAGAGCACGCAAGTCGTACGCGACAATTGCAACCCGACCGGTTATAGAGCGTAAGGTGGCTGCGAGCGCCCGTTGCGGCGAGTCTACATCCGCAAATAGGCGAGATAGCGTGAACATACCGGCCGCTAACTTCTCCGTCGGCCCCAGCGCACACCAGCCCGGCACTACGCTCTCGCACACTTCATCCCAGCAGCGTGCCTTCTCTGCCCTGTCTCCATAATTTGTATGATTCGTATCGAATAAACAAGGTCTTTTTTCCACTTCCGACACGATCATACTACTCTTGATTCCGTCGCCATCCTTCGTCCTGACCATTGCGAAGTTTAAAAAAAATATCGGAATGAATATTAAAAAGTTAAAAATTGTCAAACGCGGCGTCCGAGAACTGCGGTTGTTTTGGAAGTGCGTTCGATCGCTTCGTGAACTCGGTAGCGGTACGCGATAGCACGTCTGAATGCCCGCGTGAAACTGGCGGGCTGAGTCGGACCGAACGGCGCATCGGGCAACATGGCCGCTTGAGACGGCGGGGAAACGTATAGGTGCGATGCGAGCGTCGACTGAGGTCGTTGCGATATCGCCTTCCTTGCGCTAATAAATAAATAAGATATATACGATTATACGATATATCCTATCTACAACGTGGCCGGTAAATATGTTCCCTCAACAATTTAAGCATCAACTGAAATTAAATACTTTGCGTAGGAAATTACCCGATGATCGACAATGTCTCAAAGAGAGACTACTGCGTTACATTATGAGTATTGACGGTTGCACTGTACATAATAATTATTGCATAAGCAAACCGAGTCTCCGATGGAATTTAAACAGTTCTTCTAAATATTGATTAAATCTACTTTTACGGGTTTTATCGCGTTTAATTTATTTTATTTTTTAACCCGACGTTTCAAGTGCTCTCCAGCACCCATGGTCACGCCATGGTCCCCCGTGACCATTCGTGTAAATATAAGAAATCATTAGCTTTTCCAAAGTTTTGCACTATTAGTTTATTCAATACAAAAATACTTCTTGCGCTACTATATGTAACTTCGACTACGACAACTACGTCCGAATTGTTGGAAGGTGGAACTGTTGAAAGATGCTTGCATGATTTAACAGTACCACAAGAAGTTTCGCACAATAAGTCATTCTCTTAACGAATCTCTTTTGGAGAAGGTCCTCTTTTAACTAACCAAAAGTAGTCTTTTATAGTGTAATGGATAAAGGGAAGAGTATAAAAACCAAAGTTCATAACAAATCAATAAAACTAGGTTATAATATATTTTTAAAAAGAGACTTTTGTCTAGGAAGCAAGGACAGTGTAGAGATACACCGTAATAACAAGAGAAACGAAATTGATCGGAACAAACTTAAAATATAATAAAAAGGCGTTTACAAAACAAAAGACTTTTAATTCAAGACAGTAAAAGAGACCTTATTCTTCGGTATAAGTCCGTACTTAAACATATAAAACAAAACGAAGATAATAAACATGCATATTTTGTCATTTAGCAGTACCAAAAGAGCCTTTAAAGAACACTCCTAAAGTCTGGATCCAAGACTTCCATTTCACCACTCCTTATTCAGCTTCAAACAACAACTAAAATCACTAATATTGCTACAAATTTTATAGTGTAGGTAACCACTGAATCAGCAAACTTTATAAATATAGGAATGCAACTTGCCAATAAAATACAGAACGTCAATGTGACACCTAGTAGACCTATGGAAAGCAAATCGTCCATTACACTCCTTTGTTTTATTACATACAGACATAGAAGCAGTTAAAAATATCATTTTAAGCTTAAAATCAAACAGTGCAATATTCCCAATGACTTCATGAAATTGGCAGTCAATGATTTGGCTCCTATTATTTCCCACTTAAATTATCTATGTTTCGAGACAGGGATATTCCCAGCACCATTAAAGCAGTCTATTATTACACTTGTGTACATTAGTAATTACAGACCAATTTCCGTTCTACCAGCAATATCTAAAATTCTGGAAAAGTTACTTAATATTAGATTACTAAATTACTTAAATAAATTTGATATATTAGCACCCACACAATTTGGCTTCAGACAAGGAAGATCTACAGAAGATGTAATTCTTGAATTAAACACATTTGTAACAGAACAACTCGACCACAGTAAAAAATGTTTGTCGGTCTTCCTTGATCTGAAGAAAACATTCGACACCGTCTCTGTCCCTACCCTTGTGCACAAGCTTGAAAAAATTGGAATAAGAGAGACTCCGCTTGCTCTTTTCGAAAGCTACCTATCGGAGAGAAAATAAAAGGTAAAGCTTCCTGGGTTCATTAGTGGGGAAGCGGTGGTGACATCAAATGGCGTTCCACTGGGTAGCGTTCTGGGGCTGACCTTATTTCTAATTTATGTCAATAATCTGTGCAGTATGACCATACCAAATGCCAAAATCCTGTCGTACGTCGATGACACGGTTGTGGTTTTGCTGATGAATCTTGGGAGGCTGTCAAGACTAGTGCTGAAAGTGGTCTAGCTCGAGTCGCTCTATGGTTGCAGCAAAATCTCCTCACTTTGAATACAGCTAAGACAAATTTTATTTGCTTTAGGATTACCAACAACATGTAGCCACAGAATGACTTTTGCCTTAAAATTCATATGTGTTTTGAGGATGCTAAAAACAAAGCTTGTGACTGCCCATCAATTGAAAAAGTCTCTCACACTAAATATCTGGGCGTCGTTATAGATCAGAGGCTATCGTGGTACCCACACCCTGAACATGTCATTAATAGGACCCGAAAATTGATTTGGATTTTCAAAACTCTAAGACACGTATTACCTGATAGTACTAAGCAGTCGGACTCTCCCAGATATATTCTTTACCAAATATACACGGCCCTTGCACAATCTATCATAACATATTGCATTCCGGTGTGGGGTGGAGCTGCAAGACCAAATTTCTTAACTTGGAAAGAGCCCAACGAACCCTTATTAAGATCATGTATTTAAAAAAAAGACGTTTTTCACTCATCAACTGTATATAATTAGTGGTCTACTCTCAGTTAGACAATTATATGTTACTATGACAATCCTCAAAGCACATCCAAAAAACACCCTGCCCTTTGACCCATGCATCTTGAAAAAGCGGCGAAAAGATGTTGTGGTTAAACTTTCTGGTACCAAAACAGTTTTTGCTAGTAGGCAATTTGGCTCATGTTCTGCATTCCTATATATAATAAAATAAATAGAGAATTGAACATATACGACAAAACGTACAGGTGGTGTAAAAACCTGATACTAAAGTGGGTGCAGTCGAAAACTTGAGAAGAAACCGAATTTCTGCTGTACCGCATTTCATAATTCACTTCTATGTACAATATAATATAACAAAATAATTCTTCATACACACACACATACACACACACACGCACGCGCCGCACGCACCGCACCCCACGCACGCCCGCACGCAGGCACGCACGCACGCACGCACGCACGCACGCACGCACGCACGCACGCACGCACGCAGCCGCACACACCACACCACCACGCACACGACGCACGCACTCCCACGCACCACTCCACCACCACTCCCACCACACACGTCGCACGCACGCACGCACGCACGCACCACACGCCCCGAGGACACGCACGCACGCACCCCCACACACGCACGCACTCACGCACGCACGCACGCACGCACGCATACACACATACACACTTTTGTAATTTTTTTAAAGTCGAGTAATTTGTTTTGGTTTTTAAATTAAAAAAATGTATGTTTAGTTAAGGAAGAGCGGGAGTTCCAAACAAAGGCATTACTTGCTTAAATGGAGATCCCAGTCAACTATGTCATAAATTTAAGTTTTGTGAAGAAAAATAAATTATTTTATTATTATTATTTATTAGATATCAGCAACAATCGTCCCATGAACATATTATATACAATTCATTTATTGTTTGCATAATGTCTGCAAGAACAAAGCCCAAAATATTGAAAGTGATCAACCCATAAAACAGGCAGGTTTCAGGAACGGATATTTAATAATTAACGACATTCATAGAAATAATTAGGGAACTAATAAGAAAACTGGTTAGTTTCAATAGCCCCTAACATTAACTGATTATGCAAAAGCGTTTGATATTACTTCTCATCAATTTATTTGGTAATCTCATCGATATATTAGAAGATATCTAATAAAAATCACAAGCTTAATTAAATTTCTAAACTTAATAAACGTTGGAAATTTAACATAAGTTAAGTAAACCGTCCACGAGATTTTAGACTAACACCTTCGCGTGTGGAGTTTTAAAAGTATAAATAGTTAGGGTGTTGGGTGCTGTATAACGAAGTGATTCCAGAAGTTAAGTCGACGGTTTGGCTGTTTTAAAATGAACTAATGCCACAATCAAAGTGAAGTTGTCGAGGAGCTCAGGGATAATTTTGCTCGGTTATTTTTAATGGGTATCTGATATCAATTACTTTACAAAATCAACGTATCAGTGCCAAATGGTATCCTACTAAGTGATTGCCAGAACTGTTTATTACTGTGAGCAATAGCTGACCAAACCCGGAGCTTCGTGGGCTTTAAAACGACAAGGCTGGGCGCACTGTACCCTCAGCGCTCAAATAGGCACTTGCAGGATACCATCGCTTATGCTGGTGACGGCTCCGTGGCGTGGCTTAGCAATGTGCTACGGCGCTGAGAATCTCGGGTTTGAATCCCGTACGGACAAGTAAATACAAATAATTTTTCCGGGTCGGGATGTCCTTTTGAAATGTATGTAAACTGCCACCACGGTGCAGGAGAAAATTCTAGTGTGGGAGTAACGTTTTTTTATAAGTAATAAAAGAGAAAGATGTTGGGAGACCCACCTTACAGCCCTGATTTTGGCACAATGTAACGTCTTTTTAAAACAAGAAATCAGCTGAAAGTGATATAGATTTCGTCTACGGAAGATGCGCTCGTAGTGTGCGAGTAGGCCGCAGAAGTGGCGTTTTTTAAATAAAAGAGGTAGTAGCAACAAGCATGCGACTCATCCGATAGTGACTATCGCCGCCCATAAACCACAGAATTGCACAGAATTGCAAGCACAAGGTGCAGGTTTAAACAAGTGGTAAAATTAAAAATGTTGTACAACCAACTTCAACATAGAGAACATCATCAATGTATTCAAAGTTAATTAAATACGCATTGCTCTACCACGTATAAATACTACCACCAGTAAGGCTGACCTCGCTTCTTTACTCAGCAAAAGAAAATGAGAAGTAACAAAGAAAACCAGACCAATTAAAAAAGGAGTAATATCATTTGAACGCTGGGTAGCCGGGAATAGCAG